TTCATATACTCATTTATAATCCTTCCTTTCTACTCAAATTGTTCCTTTTAATATTTCTTGCAGGCTGGTTTAGTGATAATAAACTCCTTTAGTTTTTGTTTGTCTGAGAAACTTTATCTCTCCTTCTATTCTGGATGATAGCCCTGCTGGTTAGAGTAATTTAGCTGTATATTTTTCCCATTCATCAATTTGAATATATCACTTCATTCCCTTTGTCTTACAAGGTTTCTGCTGAAAAGTCTACTTATAGCCTTATGGGATTTCCCTTGTATGTAATTGTCTTATTTTGACTTGCTGTCTGTAAGCATCACTATATTTTGTCATTTTAATTACCATATGTTTTGGTGTGGATATGCTTTACTGATTTTGTTGGAGCATCACTGTGCCTCCTGGATCTGGATATTTATTTCCTTCTTCAGATTAGGGAATTTTTTAAGCTATTATTTCTTCAAGTAAATTTTCTGCCCATTTTTCTCTTTCTTCTTCTAGGATCCCTATAATATGAATGTTATTATGTTTGATGGAGTCTCTCAGTTCCCTAAGTCTATTCTCATTTTACATAATTATTTTTTTTCTCTCTTTCATTCAGCCTGATTACTTTGTTACTCTGTCTTCTAGATCACTAATTTATTCTTCTGTTTTTTCCAGTCTGCTGTTCATTCTATCAAGTGTGTTTCTCATTTCCCTTATTGAACCCTTTATCTCTCTTATGTTATTCCTTATCTCTGTGTTAAGGTTCTCTCTAGTGACTTCCAGTGTTTTCTTAAGTCCAGTGTGTATTTTTATAATCATTACTTTAAATTCTCTGTCAGGCATGTCACTTATATCTCTTTTGCTTAGACTTCTGGTCGTGACCTTCTCTAGTTCTTTCATTTGGAATAATTTTTTCTGTCTTTTGTCTAAGTCCTTATGCATGTTCCTATATGTAAGGAATGTCAGCTACTTCTCTTGTTCTTGAGGATAATCACCTGATGAAGAAGAGCTCCTGTAATACCCTTTAATGTAGTGTCCCCTATTCCCCAGGGCCTAGTGCTTCAGAGCATGTCTCCAATTTGTGCTGCATGTGCTCTGCCATTGTGTCCTGACTGCTTTATCCTTCAGGCCAGTCATCTACAGAGGCTCTCTTTCCCTGTTGTGGGCAATATTTGGTACCTGGTCTGAGTGTGGCAAGTTTTAACTAGGTATGTTCTGGTCTGCTTATGCTTTTAACATTGCTGCCAGAACTGAGGCCCCACAAAACTCCTGGCTGGAGGGATGAAATGTGGGCAGGGATTTGGGCTGGTCTTCTAGGAGAAGAAGCCTGCCACAATGGAACCGAGGCAAGCATGACTGGGAAGGGAAGTTCCACCAGAGGCGGGGGAGGGCTTGGCAAAAGCTAGTTGGGAAGCAAATGTAAGCGTTGGTTGGGTCCCACAAGTGGTCCCGTTCCTAAAGTGTTGGGAGGCAGGAATGGTGCCTGCCATTCATTTTGTTCCCAGATGGGTTTTTCCGTGAATGCTACCACTCGAAGAGGAGCAAATAATTTCCTCATTGTATTCCCCAGGCACTCTTCAGATTGCTATTTTCAAGTTGTATGTCCACAGGCTGTTTGCCCAGCTTTCTCTCTAAGAGCATCCTAATGCTCTCTGTGCTTTCCCTGAGCCAATGCTGCTGGCCTTTAAATCTCCAGACTTTTAACCCTAGTTGTTGCAAGAACTCACAAAATTCAGCCCCTTTCACTTTCCAAGCCAATTTCCATGGGGGTTTGTTTGCCTCTTGTGGGCTCCCCTGTGTGCCAGCCTATCTCTTGCCTTTTTCTGCAACTGCAGTTCCTTTCCACCATGGTGGCCATATCTGTTTCTCTCCCAAGATGTGTCTCCACATTTTTTTTACCTTCTTTGATATGGTCTCTTCTCTACCTTTAGTTGTGGAGTTTATTCTGCCAGGTTCCACGTTGATTTGGTGATTATTTAGGATGATATGATTGTTATCTAGTTGTATTTGTGGGACAAGCCAAGCCTAGAGTCTTCCTACTCCACCACCATCTTCCCAGACCTCTTTGTTTCTTTTTTTTATCTTTTTTTTTGCTTTCTCTTATTTTATTTGAGCATTTTCTATTATCCCATTTTTTTAAAGCATGTGTTGGAGAAAGGGCAGTTGCAATTTATTATTATTATTTATATATTCTAAATTTTATTTATTCATTCATGAGAGACACAGGGAGAGAGAGAGAGAGGCAGAGGGAGAAGCAGGCTCCATGCAGGAAGCCCGACGTGGGACTCGATCCCGGGACTCCAGGATCACACCCTGGGCTGAAGGCAGGTGCTAAACCGCTGATCTACCCAGGGATCCCCTATGATCCCATTTTATTGCTTGTGTTTACTTATCATCTATATATCTCTCTCTGTGTGTGTGTGTGTGTGTGTGTTTACTTTTTTAGTGGTTCCCCTGGAGTTTACAATCTATTTTGAAAATAATTTGGGTTTACCTTCAAATAACACTATACTGCTTTATATGTAGAACAAGTACCTTTATAACAGAAATATTCCTAGATTCTTCCTCTCTTTCCTTGTGTCTTTTTTGTGCTTATTTCATTCTGATATATGCTATGAACACTCAATGCATTATTACTATTATTACTTTAGCCAGTCAGTTGTCTTTTAGAACAATTAATAATATGAAAAATAAAAGGTGTATTTTGCCTTAATTTATTCCTTTTCTAATGCTCTTCTTTAATGATGTAGATCCAATTTTCTGACCTATATCACATCTTTTCTGCTTAAATATTATTCTTTAATATTTATTATATGACAGGTCTGGTGTGATGAATTTCCTGTTTTTGTTTGTCTTAAATAAAAGTATTTATTTTTCCTTTATTTTTGAAAGATATTTTTGCTTACTTTAGAATTCTGGATTGGCAGGGTCTGTGGGTTTTGTTGTTTTTGTTACTGTAGTTGTTGTTAACTTTCAAAGCTTTAAATTTTTTATTTCACTATCTTTTAGCTTATGTGGCTTCTGACAAGAAGTCTAATATAATTCTCCTTGTTCTTCTGTAGATAAGGTGTTCCTACTGCATCTTTTCCCCGGCCTTCTTCAGTATTTTATTTTTGCCTGATTTTCTGCAGTTTAAATTTGATATGTCTAGGTGTGGTGTGGTTCATTTTTATATTTTATTTATCCTGATTGGTATTCTCTGAGATACCTGAATCTGTGGTTTATAATCAATAACTCAATTTTGAAAATTTTTGGCAATTCTCTCTTCAAGTATTTCTTCTTTCCCATTATCTCCTTCTTCTCCTGTTATTTTAATTACATATATATTGCATGTATATACATATATGTACATGATATTTATAAATTACATATATATTACACTATTTGATACTTTCCCATATTTCTTGGATGTTTTATTCTGGGTTGTTTTGTTTTGTTTGTTTGTTTTTTTAATATTTTTTCTCTGCATTTCAGGGTGTGTAATTTCTACTGACCTATCTTCAAGTTCATTGATTCCTTAGCTATGTTAAGTTCATTTATGAGAACATTGAAGACATCCTTAAGATCTATTACTGTGCTTTTTCTCTTGCATTTACATTTGATTCTTTCTTATACTTTCCATCCCCATACTGAAATTATCTATCTGATCTTACATGTTGTCTACCTTTTCCAATAAACCTTTTAACTTATCAATCTTAGCTATTATACATTCTCTGCCTGATAATTCCAACATGTGTATCATAACTGAGTCTGATCCTGATTATTTCTTTGTCTCTTCAGACTATTTTTTTCTTGCCTTGATTCTTCCCTTTGTGTTACTCTCTGGAGGGAGACAATTATTTTTTGCATCCTTTGAAGATGCAGTCTTCTATTATTTTACCTGGTAGTAGGGAATAGGGGACCAATGCCATTTTATGTTAGTCTAATTAAGTCTCAGCCTTAGGCAGGCTTATCCTCAGTCTTGGAGGTGTGACCTTCCCATGTGTTCCTGCCTCTTCTCTAACTATAATGGTAGGCTTAGTGCATATTCCTATGCCTCCTGGGCTATAGCATTTTTTCCATTATTCTTCTCCAGCTGTGGTGAGTTTCTCCCAGTGTCCTCAGTTTCTGTTGCCCTTCCTTGCAGATTAAAGATTATTTTCTTTAGGGGAGATGGAGTAGATGGGTCTGGGCAGAATTTCAGTAGTGTTGGCCATTCCTCTTTATCAGCTGCAGTTAATTTCCACTAGTGCTCCCAAACTACAGTTGCATTCCCTTTCTCTGTGAAGACTAAGGTTTTTGTTTCATAGAATACAAAGGGAGAATGATCTGGGCACAATTTCAGCAATGGCTGCTCTTCTGTCTTCCTCTCCAAGCCAGAACTACAGGACATCTATCTCAGGATTCTTCTGTCTTCTCTGTCAGCACCTGATGGAATTCTTAGAGGATGCAAAACCATCTATTTCTTCAGCCCCCAGGGGCTTCACGTTCTCATACTAGCTCACAACCAATCTTTAACAATTTATTAAAAATTTTTTAGCTGAGTCTTTTTATGAGTTTATATGTTATGCAGTAGTATCTATGAAAGATAAGGAAATACCTGGGCCGTGTTGCTCCCTGCAGATGTCTGCCTATCTCTACGGATTTGGGGTTAGCTGTTTACATTGTAATCTCAGTTTTCTGATGAATTCAGAAGTCAGTTAGAAAATGTCCAGGTTTGGCAGTCCCAGTGGCTCAGTGGTTTAGCTCCACCTTCAGCCCAGGGTGGAATCCTGGAGACCTAGGATCGAGTCCCATGTCAGGCCCCCTGCATGGAGCCTGCTTCTCCCTCTGCCTGTGTCTCTGCCTCTCTCTCTCTCTCTCTCTCTCTGTCTCTCATGAATAAATAAATAAATAAAATCTTTTAAAAAAAGATGTCCAGGTTTTTGTTATTGTTGTTGCTGTTACAATGGTAGGAAGGATGTTTTTCTAATTCTACACCTCTAATATGATACCAGAAGGTCATGGGAACCTGGGGATAAGCTTTCGAGATGTTGTTTATTTTCCAGCGTCAATACCCCAGTTTACCAATTCCCCCACAATGGTGATCATGGTGGGTTTACCAGCTCGAGGAAAGACCTACATCTCCACGAAGCTCACAAGATATCTCAACTGGATAGGAACACCAACTAAAGGTATGTTTCTGAAACCATTTGTTCTATGGCCCCTTACTGGCCACTAGCTGAAGAGTAAGGTAGCAGGCCTCAGAAAGGACATTCCCTCAGTACCAGGAATGCCTCAAAACATTATTACCAATCTTAGAATTACTACTACTACTACCACCGCCACTACTACTACTACTACCACCACCACCACTGCACTCTTAAAAGTTTTACAATTTCTTGAGCACATACTCTGTGCCTAACTGTATTCTAGGTACTAGGTATAGGTTAATTAACAGGACTAAATGTCTGTTCTCAGGGACCTCCAGTTTTGCAAGATCTTAACACAACCATATGAGTAATATAGTATTTTTATTATCATTATTATGTTTATTGCCATTATTATTATTACCACACCAATATTACTATTTTGATTAGCATTACCATTTACTCAAAACCTTAAGATCTTCTTTAAGCCTTAGTGTATATGGAGTCAAGCACATTGAAGCCACAGCCCAGGGGTTCCCACAGGGTCTTCACTAAACCTGGGCACTTTAGCTAACCTTGTCCTCTGGAGTCCAGAAGACATCTGCTCTCTCCAAGCCTCTCCTTAGGTTTCAGCTTGTTGTTGGCTTCCCCTCCCCAGGCAGAAGTGGTCCTGCCTTTTTCCACCTCCAGAGGGGCCTCCTTCCCTGCCTATCAACCTCCTCCTTCACTCCCTATTTCCAACTTTCCATTCTCTTCAGTGTGGTCTCTTAAGAACGAACATCTATTCTTAAGTTCTAAAATGCCCATGAAGAAGAAACTAGTATTATCATCATTCTACAATTGATTAAATTAGTGCCCAAGAGGTGAAGTCCCACTAAAGGCACATGGCCATTGAGTGAAAGAACCAGGAAATGAGCCCACATCTGGTTTATTCCAAAGCCTGATACCCACTGTACCAGGTCTACTATTTGGCTCTACAGATGGGGAAAAAAATAATCCCACGTTGGCCATGTACTTCACCTTTTCTCCATTCTCTTCCTCTTCTTTCTCTTGCTCATCCCAGCACCCTATCTATCTGCCCCCTTCCTTCCCTCTCTTCAAGTCTCCTCCTCTCTTTATCCCATTTCTTTTCCTTCATGCACTTTCTCTTATTCACTGATGAAGGCTTTCCCAATCTTTTTTATGTGCTAAAACCCATGCTAGGCAATGAGGATGCAAAAATTAATGAATCACACCCTGTCCTTGAAGAGTTTTCTATCTGGCTGGGATGCATACGAATGCCTCATGGTCACTTAAAGAATCCTAGAGCAGGGTAATGAGGGGGCTCACAGAGGAAATAACCAACTGGAAGGCAGAGAAAGCTTCCAGGTAGGATATATTTGAGCTTGGTCCTGTGGGAGGAGTAGAACATTGGCAAAAGAGAAGAGAAAGGATCGTTCTTGTGGAGGACTACAGGCTCCACGTAGTTTCTGTTGGATGTTAGGGGAATATGGGATTGTGGTGGATAGGTCTCTGCCCTAATGCACACGCTTTCCATCTGCTCCAATATAGTCCATTCCCACAGAGCACAAAGCCTCAGAGTCATGTTTCAAAAAGCACAAAGCTTACCATACCTCCACAGGTCCTCTTGGCCTGCAGGTTTAAGCCCAAGATTTTTAACCTGTTGTTCAAGGCCCTCCATGATCCACCCCTGCCAGTCTCTCAGGCTTCAGTCACAGTGAATGACTCATCATTCCCTAAACATGTTCTGCCTTTTGCCAATGTCATACCTTTGCTTATAGTATTCCTCTGCCTGGAATGTTTTTGTTCCCCACTCCCATCCCCCATGCCTGCCTATAAAAAGGCCTGCCTTCCTAAAAGGACTTGTTCAAATGCTACTGGAAACCATGTCAGATTACCCTAAGTATAATTAATCTGTCCTTCCCCTTATTCTTTTGAATGCGTCTGTCAGAGAACTCAAGAAACTCTGTGGGAACTCTGTTTACTGGTTTACTGTCTGTCCTACTTGCTATATTGTAAGCTCCTTGGGTCCCCATCATACATATCTGGTCTATCTTTGAGGCTTCAGAACTCTTGTCCTGCTTTACAGAGTGTACATCAGAATGTATTTATTGAATGAAATATTGTGTTAGCCTCTTATCCTCTTTCTCCTCCTTTCCTTACCTTCTCTCAGTTTTTCACTATTACTGATGAAAAAGTATGGCCTAGAGAGGGCAATAAATTTGGATTCTCTATCATTATACAGGAGAATGCAATAACATTGAGCTAGGTTTCAGGAGGTCCAGTCTAATTCTGTTACCTGCTAACTCACTGACCGTTAGTGATTAATTTTACTCACTGAATTTTTTTTCCTTATCTTTCCAATAGAATAGGGCATTAAAAGGGTTGGAATTTATAATGAAATAGAATAGTAAAATGTCCACTAGCTTTGGAGCCAAACAGACCTGGTTTTGAATCCCAGCTTCCCACTTATTAACTATGAAAGTTACTTCTTATCTCTGAACTTAGGTGGGCACTTGACGGGATGAGCACTGGATGTTATTCTATATGTTGGCAAATTGAACACCAAAAAAAAAAATAAATTTATAAAAAAAGAGTGGCATCTAGAAAAAAAATTCTTAATTTATAAAATGGGATTGTAATTTCTATGTTGCAGGGTTGTTGTAAGGAATAAGTGAGTTGGTAGCCACAATTTGAAGCTTTATAAGCATATTATATAGGCACAAATTATACCTCCTTCTACCTCTGAAATCTCTCCCAGCAATTAAATATTTTTCTACTAGAATCTTTCCAACCTCTTCACCAGGTCTCCCTGCTTTCAGTGTTTAATTTAGGCCAGTACCGACGGGAAGCAGTGAGCTACAAGAACTACGAATTCTTTCTCCCAGACAATATGGAGGCCCTACTTATCAGGAAGTAAGTGCCTACTATTTTATAGAACTGTGCTGCCCATTGTTGAAGGAGGGCTTTGTTAAGATAATGGGGACATGGGGCAGAGTTACTTGAGTTAGCAAGGAGATCTTCTAGACTCTCAAAGGCCTTTCCTCTAGCCTACCCAAAACCCACGACCATCCCCTACTTAAGAACTTAGGAACTAATGGTCTCAGTCTCTTACTCCTTACAAGAGAAAGTGGAAAATTCTCAGCCTAGCATTTAAGAGTCTCAATAGCTTGGCCCATTTCAGTATCTCCAGTCCCATCTATTCAATCTCAAGGTCTATCTCCTCTACGACACTGACCATTTCCACAACAGATCCTATATCTCATTTATTGATCCATGCCCTTATAAAAAGAACCTAGCAAAGAATAATCACTAAATAGATTTTTACCAAATGCATGAATATATTGCCACCATTATACCTGTGCTTGTACTGGTACCCATTTCAGGAATGCCCTCTATTTCACAGACCATATACTCAAACTCTAACTGGGTTTAAGGATCAGTTCCACTTGAGCTCTATCACCCCAAAGATTGGAGTTTTTAATATTATGGCTCTGTCATTAGTCCACTTTTCCTGGGTATGCCACTTTATGCCTGGCCCACAAAGCCACTTTCAACTATGTGACCTCTCTGTGCTTGTCATAGTGTCTGGAATATAGGATACCCTATGTATATGTTTCATAGATTAATAATTTAATGTGAGATATCTGAGAGATGGTGCAAAAGACAATGGAGAAAAATAGAGAGGAACTCATCTTGGGGATAGGGATTGTCTCCATTTCTTTCTCTATATTTTTTAGGCAGTGTGCCCTGGCAGCCCTGAAGGATGTCCATGACTATCTCAGCCATGAGGAAGGTCATGTTGCGGTAAAGAAATTTGCATTTTCCCTCAAGTTTCTGCTGGAATGAAGGACCCCTCAAATGTATTGAACATTTACTATGTTCTACACATTATTATAAGTATTTTACACATATTAATTTAATTCCACCCTCTCCCATGAGACAGGCATGTTGTTGTTAATACTCCATTTTATAGTAAAAAAAAATGGCACAGAGAGAGTAAATAATTCCTCAAGGTGGCACAGCATGTATGCAGCAAGGCCAAAACTAGAATTCAGTTTGTATAGCTCCAAAATCTACACTCCTGGGATGCCTGGGTGGCTCAGCAGTTGAGCATCTGCCTTTGGCCCAGGGCTTGATCCCGAGGTCCTGAGATCAAGTCCCACATTGGGCTCTCTACATGGAGCCTATTTCTCCCTCTGCCTGTGTCTCTGCATCTCTCTGTGTCTCTCATGAATAAATAAATAAAATATTTAAAAAAAATTTTTTTACATTCCTAACCACTATGCTTTACCACTCCACCCCCAAGAGTTAAGACTACAACACAGTTTAAGACTACAGTACAGGGGCGCCTGGGTGGCTCAGTGGTTGAGCGTCTGTCTTTGGCTTAGGTCATGATCCTGGGGTTCTGAGATCGAGTCCTGAATTGGGTTCCCTGCAGGGAGCCTTATTCACCCTCTGCCTCTGCCTCTTAAATAAATATAAAATATTTTTTAAAAAAGACTATAGTACAAACATTTTTGAGTTCTAGAGATTTACCTAAAAATCTAGTCAATTTAATATTATAAACCCTTGGGGTAGGATTTGTGAATTCTAAAAGGAGAAGAGATCTTTAAATAGTCCCACCTAAGGTGCTGAGGATAGGGAGTTGTTACCTGTTCTTAAAGAGTTCCAAAGTGATAGAGAAGGAAGAAGCCTCAACTAGGAGTTGAGAAAATCCATTGTAGCTCTGCTCTGTCAGCCGCTCTTGGTGGCCTTGGTTAAAGCAAATCTTTCCTCAAAGCCTTGGCTATTTTATCTATAAAATGACGCTAATAAAATTTTACAGGTTTCCTCTTGTCTATGCCTACAGTCTGCTACATTTCTGGACTGACAGCAAGGGCTCAATAAATGCTTGAGATATTGGCATAAATCAGTATCAGATCCTTCCTATCCTTCAAAACTCAGTCAAGTTCTATCTCACCCTGGAAGCCTTCCACTTAGCACAAGGATAATCAAGGAGTAGGTGTTCTCTCAAAAACCACATTCAGAGTAACCCAATGTCATCATTGGCCTATAGGTTTTTGATGCCACCAACACTACCAGAGAACGACGGTCACTAATTCTGCAGTTTGCTAAAGAACATGGTTACAAGGTATAGTAACACTCCCACTCTTATCTAGAGCCTACTTATCTAGTACAAATCTTAAAGAAAGGTAAACCAAAGGACTGCAACCTGCCAAATCAGCTACAAATCAGCCCAAGTCAGGCTTTAATTTGTTATATGGCTTTCTAGATCACAGTTAGAAGCAGCAAAACAGAACAGGAAAGAAGAGGTGCCATATTAGTAATGGAAGATAATTGCTGACAGGCTGACACTGTGGGAGGTGGAAGTGAGGATGGAGGGAAGAGAAGCACTACAAAAAGCATATATAAGAACTAAAACCTAATAAAAACATAAAAGAATAACTTAAGGCCATTCAGTTTAGAGTCAATATGCCTCATAAAACTCAAAATCCTAAAAGTAACACTGTATGAAATTATGTTGTCAGAGATGCCCCCTGGGGATAACTCAGAGCCACTGTGAAGAAGTGAAGCTATGGTTGGCACCACCAAACATAATTCCTTGCTGAAAATTTCTCTTCTTTTTCTCTTATAGGTCTTTTTCATTGAGTCTATCTGTAATGACCCTGGCATCATTGCAGAAAACATCAGGGTAAGGAGCACTTTACCCTTTCCTCCTTACTTTTCCTCAGGTTTGGATAATGCCTAAAAAGACTTCTATGAGGTTAAAGGTGGTATTCTTCTCCTATAGGAAGTATTTCCTGACCATCCTGTCCTATAATAATCCTATGAAATGTAAAGTAGCCAACATAATATAGAGTCCTTAATATGCAGTGGGCACCAAGCATCTCTTACTGATTTGTTACAATAAACCTGTATGTTAGGTATCATTTCATTGTTGGAGAGAGAGAGCAGAGATTCCAAAAAAAAGAGTTTTCAAGGATTCATACAACCAGAAAGAAGTAGTACTGGGACTAGACCTCAAGCTTGTATCAGAAATATAACTGCTCTTATATTCTAGGCATGTGGTCTAGAACTGGATCACCCACCACATTTTATTGTTCCTTATTTCATGAAATTATTGGAGCTCAGGGACAGAAGAAATCTTATAGGTTATCTCCCTCAACCCTCCATCAAATACTTGAAATCTCAGCTAAATGTTTGTCTATATATTTTTTTCATACCTCCGGTGACAAGAGACTCATTGCTTTTATCAAATGCAGTTCAATCAAGCTGAAATCTACCTCCCTGAAATTTTCACTGATTTGTCCTGTTTTTTCCTCTTGAGACATAGAACATGTCCAATCCCTCTCTTCTTCATCCCCCCTTCTATCCAGCCATTTATTGATTCAACACAAATTTAATCTATATGACTAAACTGGTCTATTCTGTGTATTAGAGACATAGAGAAAAATCCTGCCCTTGAGATCACAGCCAAGTGAGAGATACTGACAAGTTTATAGACATAACTATGAGTCAGTGCTGAGATGAAGAAATAAAAGAGGCTGTGGGCTTTTCGTAGATGGCTTTTAAGATATCGAGGAAAGTTCCCTCTATCCCTACACTCTGAAGGGTTTTGATCAGGAATGGATGCTGTATTTTGTCAAATGCTTTCTCTGCATCTAATGAGAGGATCATATGGTTCTTGGTTTTTCTCTTGCTGATATGATGAATCACATTGATTGTTTTACGAGTGTTGAACCAGCCTTGCATCCCGGGGATAAATCCTACTTGGTCATGGTGAATAATTTTCTTAATGTGTTGTTGGATCCTATTGGCTAGTATCTTGTTGAGAATTTTTGCATCCATGTTCATCAGGGATATTGGTCTGTAATTCTCCTTTTTGGTGGGGTCTTTGTCTGGTTTTGGAATTAAGGTGATGCTGGCCTCATAGAATGAGTTTGGAAGTACTCCATCTCTTTCTATCTTTCCAAACAGCTTTAGTAGAATAGGTATGATTTCTTCTTTAAACGTTTGATAGAATTCCCCTGGGAAGCCATCTGGCCCTGGACTCTTGTGTCTTGGGAGGTTTTTGATGACTGCTTCAATTTCCTCCCTGGTTATTGGCCTGTTCAGGTTTTCTATTTCTTCCTGCTCCAGTTTTGGTAGTTTGTGGCTTTCCAGGAATGCGTCCATTTCTTCTAGATTGCCTAATTTATTGGCGTAGAGTGAACTGGTGCAGCCACTCTGGAAAACTGTGTGGAGGTTCCTCAAAGAATTAAAAATAGACCTGCCCTACGACCCAGCAATTGCACTGTTAGGGATTTACCCCGAAGATTCAGATGCAATGAAACGCCGGGGCACCTGCACCCCGATGTTTCTAGCAGCCATGTCCACAATAGCCAAACTGTGGAAGGAGCCTCGGTGCCCATCGAAAGATGAATGGATAAAGAAGATGTGGTTTATGTATACAATGGAATATTACTCAGCCATTAGAAACAACAAATACCCACCATTTGCTTCAACGTGGATGGAACTGGAGGGTATTATGCTGAGTGAAGTAAGTCAATCGGAGAAGGACAAACAGTGTATGTTCTCACTCATTTGGGGAATATGAATAATAGTGAAGGGGAATATAAGGGAAGGGAGAAGAAATGTGTGGGAGATATCAGAAAGGGACACAGAACATAAAGACTTCTAACTCTGGGAAATGAACTAGGGGTGGTGGAAGGGGAGGAGGGCGGGGGGTGGGGGTGAATGGGTGACGGGCACGGAGGGGGACACTTGACGGGATGAGCACTGGGTGTTATTCTGTATGTTGGTAAATTGAACACCAATAAAAATTAATTTATAAAAAAAAAAAAGAGGCTGTGGGAAAACACTGTTGAGTACCAATCCTTACATGGGAGGGATATATGTGTATCAGGGAAGGCTTCTCAATGAAAGCAATAGCTGACCTGAACCTTGAAGAATACATAGGAACTTGGCAGGCAAAGAATTGGATATAAAGGAATAGTATATACTAATTATGGCATCTCCAGGGAACTATAAGTAGTTTAAGTTAGCTAGAGCAGTGTGTGGAAGAATAGGAGAACAATAAGATATGAGATGAAGAAATAATCTTGGAGTCAATTATGACAAATGGGTCACCTAATAAAATAGTTCACACTTTGCCCTAAAATATATAAGGAAATGATTAAGAGTTTTAAGCAGGGGAATGCCATGGTCAGATGTTCATGTTAAAAATATCTTTCTGGCTGCTAGTATGAGGAATACATTGGAAGTAACAAGACTGTAGACAAGAGTAAATTAGTCACAAAGCTAAAGTAAGCATCCATGAAAGAGAGAATGGAAATAAATGGGAGGAATATTTAGAAGATAGAGTGGAAAGGATCTGGTGTCTGCTGAGAGGTAAGGTATGATGACACATCTAGGATGACTCCTCTATTCTTTTTAGACTCAGGTAACTGAGTGGATGATAGTGCCATTCATGAGATGGCAAATGTGGATGGAGAAGATAGGCATTGGGGGATTAGGAGCCATCAACCTTTTAGAAATTTAAAGCCAGCATGCCATATTCTCTCATTAAACACTCAATACATGTAAGCCATTATGACCCCTGGCCAAGATCTCCTATTCTTCTTCTTCAACCATTTCTCACATCACAATTTTACTTTTACTTTTTTTACCTTTTTAATTTAAATTAAATTAATTAACATGTAGTGTATTATTAGTTTCAGAGGTAGTTTAGTGACTCATCCGTTGCATATAACACCCAGTGCTCATTATATCAAGTGCCCTACTTAATGCCCATCACCCAGTTACCCTATCCCCCCATCTACCTCCCCTCCAGCAACCCTCAGTTTGTTTCCTATGATTAATAGTCTTTTATGGTTTATCTCCCTCTCTGATTTCATCTTATTTTACTTTTCCTTCCCTTCCCCTATGATCCTCTGTTTTGTTTCTTAAATTCCTCATATGAGTGAAATCATGATAATTGTCTTTCTCTGATTGACTTATTTTGCTTAGTATAATACGCTTTAGTTCCATCCACATGGTTGCAAATGGCAAGATTTCAATTTTTTGATGGCTGAGCAATATTCCATTGTGTGTATATATCACATGTTCTTTTAATTGTTCTTCTTAGACACTGTGTGCTTTAGAAGTGAGTACAATATTATAACAGACCTTGTTTAATCACATAGAAATAAGGAATAAGCAGACACACAATCCAAATTATCTTCAATTGACTGACTTTGTAAACTTGGCAAGACCCTTTGTCTAAGCCTCAATTTCCTAATCTTCATGATGAGGGATGTTGTACTCAATGATCTCTAAGAGCACTTCCAAAGATCACTGTTAGAGTCTCTGTCTCTTACAGTTTCCCTGTTCTCCCTTTTCCTAGCAAGTAAAACTTGGCAGCCCTGATTACATAGACTGTGACCGGGAAAAGGTTCTGGAAGACTTTCTAAAGAGAATTGAGTGCTATGAGGTCAACTACCAACCCTTGGATGATGAACTGGATAGGTAAGAATGCAGAACCCTAAAATCCAAGACAGGATCTTTAACCCTATTTTGATGTCCTTTAGGACCTGGGAAAATGTCCCCCCTCTTTGGGCCTCAACTTCTCTATCTATAAAATCATAGAGCTAGATTTGATTATTTGTCTTCTAGGACCCTCCAAACTCTAATTATCTGAGGTAGTCCTTGAGATGTAAAATGTCTATGAGATGGTTAAGGTGGTGCCTTCCTGAGCAATATGGACAGCTAAGGACCCTGATTTCTAGGAACAAATGCTATTTTTGTTTTTTTTTTTTTTTGTGGTTGTTGCTATTTTTTTTTCAAGAGCATTCCTTACACATGGATGACACTTCAGCTTCCAAACATGTTCACGTTCTTTGTTTCTACTGAATCCCTTCAGCACCCCTATAAAGGAAGCCAAAATAGATCTTATGCTTATAATTTTTCAAGAAGAGAAAATTGAGTCTTAGCTGAAACCATTTGCCAAGTTCCCAGTACAAATCAAGGGGTAGAACTAGGATTTTAATCATATTTTGTCTCTTACTCATGTCTCTTTTCACAAAATCCATGTTCCTCTTCAATCAATAGATATTTGGCCTCTTTGAGCTGTGGTGTATGTAGGGATATCAATAATGGCAAGAGGTGGTTTCTATCCGCAGGTAGCTTCCATCGTGCCTTGACATATGGAAAAACACATGAAAAATATTAAACTCTCATTGATATTGCCAGCTAAAAATTAGAAACATGTTAGCTGGTAGTGCAGAGAATATGTGAATTTTAGACATACTATATTCCCATAATCCTGAAAATGGGTTGTGATGAGAAGAGACTGTGGTCACTCAGACCCTTTGGGCCCCAAGTGAGAAGTATAAGGAGACCTCACCTCAAATAGTCATTAAAAAAATGTAAAGAGCATCCTTCTGTCCAATTGAAGTCCTAAGAGGCAAGTATTGTTACTGCATTGCTCCTTAGATGGAGAAACTGAGATACAGAACAGAGCAAGGGCTTACCTGAGGCCACATAATGAGTCAGTAAAATATTTATTCAAACCGTTATCTCATCCCTCCAGCCTGGTTATCCCCCTCCCACATGCCTAAATCATAAAGAAGTGTCACATGTGGCTTAGACACTTGGTGCAAGGAGCAGGACCTTTATGTACAATTGTAAAGATTGTTCACTGTGCAAGGACAACCAAGTCAAGGGCACACTTGTTTTTCTCACCGAGACATGTGTGCTGGAATGGAGATGTTTCTGCCCTCAGGAAAGAATAACTTTTTCATATTTCCACAAAACCACCATATAGGCTAGCAGCTTATAGTGAAAGAAGCTTGAAGAAGGGGAGCTAAAGTGGAAAAATGACATTGAGAAAGCCCCTAGCCTTCAGCCTAGACTTCTACAGGTGCTCAGTTAGTGTTTGGGACTGAATATGACATATTCTGAGGGTTGGCTTTATTTAATCATTTTACATCAACAGACATTTACAGTCTATGTATCAGGGCTCAGCCAAAGCTGTGCCCTAGGAATCCAAAGAGGGAAGGGCTGTTCCTGCTGTGATAGAATGCCCACTTGGTCAGAGAAGACAATGAATGTGCAGTTGATCAGAATTGTGGAAATGTTAAACCAAGTGGGCTAAAGGAACACAAAGGAGAAAACTTACCCCAGATTGGAAAAAGAGATCTGGAAGACCAGGTTCACCAAGTGCAGGTAGACTAGATGTGTATTTGGGATACCAGAAAGGTTTAGGCTACCAAAAATAAAAATAAAACAATCTGGAAAGCTTTTGCTATTTTAACTTCAAAACCAGCATCAATGTGGTCAAAATGAAAAAAAATTCATAGGACCTCTTCAAATTGTAATATAGCTTATAACTTTTGTTTTAGATTACACATGGTAAGAGGTGGGCACTAGCTAATATAATATTTTTGGTGGGAAGCACCCGTAAATGACTCCACATGATCCAAAGCTCAAAGAAGACTTCCTAGAGAGATTGAATGTGCTGGTTCTTGAGGAATGGATGCATAGCAACTCAGCTTTGGAAAGCAGGCAAGGAATATCTTTTCAAGGAAATAGAACAGCATTTTGGAATGGTGTAGTTAAATCTGAATAAGAGTACAGGAATTTAGAGAATATTCTAGCAAAATAACGAAGGCTAGATTGAAACAGAGAAATTGTGGGCATAGGTGTGGATGTGGGACCATGAAGTGAGGCCAAGCAAGGCCAGTGTGTGAAGGCACCTAGAATGTCAGACTAACTGAGGAATTCAGAAGTTCTCTTAGAGCTATCCAGGACCTAGCATCAGGAACAGACAGTCATTAGGCAACAAGCCTACATCAGATATTTTCTACCCCTCGGTTCTGAGAGTTCTGGATAAGATAGTTGGAGAGATTGACCTTACACAAATCATTTCCTTTCTCTGTGTTTTATTTTCCTCTTCTATAAAACAAATCTAATAATCCCTTATTCCTAGGATGATTATGAGGATTTATGTATTTCGAAGTCCCCACTCCTTGACAGATATACACACGCAAAAAAGTGCTCAGCAAGTGTCCTGTGGGAACCATTGACACAGATGACAGGGATGGGCATGATTAAGTATGGTACAGATAAAGTGGGTGGGGGGCTGGGGTGACTGGGTGATGGGGGGCACTTGGCGGGATGAGCACTGGGTGTTATGCTATATGTTGGCAAATTGAACTCCAAAAATAAATAAATAAATAAATAAATAAATAAATAAATAAATAAATAAATAAAAATAAAACTTCAGAGATAAAAAAGGCTTCTCTAGGAAGATCAGAAGAGAGGCTTTCTGAAGCCAAACCCATCAGCCACTGACTTACATGACTTGGGTTAGTATAGCTATTTCTATTTATTTTGCTTTGCTACTGTGCACCCAGGGTTGCTGTCTGTCACCCCATTTTTGCAGCCTTCCCTACCTCTTCCCAGGGATTTCCTTGAACTCCCTTATAGTCCAACAACTAAAAGATTCATGCTTGGCATAGCAGGGGCCTCATAAGATCATTATTCTAATCTTTTGACTAGTCAGTGCTGCCCATTCCCAGCTCCTCTTCAGACAGGTTATTGAATAGTTTGATTATCACTCTGTGTATAGTTATTAGTTCATGACTAGGGCACAGAATTAAGAGAGATAAAAGGGGGGCTTGAAACAAGGACCACAAGATTTCCATGTTGTGTACCACTTCTGTATTCCCATATCCCAATACTTGGCACACATTCACAAAGAGTGAATGACTGTTTATGGAAGGGGTGTTTAGCATCGGCTATGTGTTTCCATGTTCTTGACTGGCCTGAGAGTTCCCAAAGGGCAGATGCTGAGTCCCCACCTCAAACACAAGGCTTAAAACAGAAGAAGGTGTGTTTGTTAACTGCATTACAGGGAAAAAAACCAACACTTTTCCCTTTCTGAGTGAAGAGAGAGACATACACACACACAGACACAAGTGCATACAGACCCAATCTGGTAGCTGCCTATAGACTGTCAAATACAATATATCATAGCAGAGACTTAAAGAATAGAGGTACAGAGCTCAGCTTGAGATTTAAAAGAGTGAGTAGGCAATTCAGGAGCTGCCAGTAGGATGTGGAAGGCAGCCAGGGACATGGGATTACAGCTTTTCTCTGAGTTTTTCAGGAGTGTGAACCACAAAGAAGAGAGCCCAGATGACTGAAGTGTAAAAAGTAGATGTGAAAAGATAGCCTGGATCAAACTGAAACTGAAGAAAGGAGACAGGGGGATATGGTAGCAGGCAGTGAGCTCTTTGGGGTGGACAGGAGCCAAGTCTCTAGAACAGGTACCCAGAATAGGGCAAGGCATGGCATTTTGTTAGAGGAAAGATGGGTGAAGGGTGCACTGAAGAGGCTTGAAGGCAGGGTATGTGGTTGGGGCTTTGTCTTGGGATCAGCCTCTCCACCATCATCCCCTGAGCTGCCCTTGCTCCTGCTTGGGCCGGCCCAGCCACCTATCCTACATCAAGATCTTCGATGTGGGCACACGCTACATGGTGAACCGAGTACAGGACCACATCCAGAGCCGCACAGTCTACTATCTCATGAACATCCACGTCACACCCCGCTCCATCTACCTATGCCGGCATGGTGAGAGTGAACTCAACCTCAGAGGCCGCATCGGAGGTGACTCTGGCCTCTCAGCTCGAGGCAAGCAGGTAGGAAGGGTCCCACACACCCCCAGGCATTGGATTAACTGGCCCAGGTGGGCTGTGGGTGGGTGGTACAGCCACTGCCTGGGTCCTGATGATGGGGGAATTCAGTGACAGGGTAAAAGTAGGTTCTGGTCACGCTCACTCTTCCACCCAATCAGCCGCTCAGCCTTAACCCATCCTTGAATGGTTCCCATGCACTAATAGCATCTGCAGCTTGGTCTTGGCACTTCAGGCCTGCCCAGATCTGGCTGCTCTCCTACCCCCATTATAGTGAGCACCCTTCTCCCCTGCATGACTGGTCCCCGCTTCTCTCACACAACTCTGTGCATTTGCTTGTGCAGTTTCTTCCACCTAGGCCGCCTTCCTCTGTCAGCTGGTGAGCATCATCACATGCCCTGAAAGCTACTCTGATGTACCCCATCCTTGAATCTATTTTCTCCCTTACTCAGGGCTGATGCCACAGTCCCCCACCCCTCCTTCAAGTCATCCCACTGTCAGCACTTGTCCCCACAAGTTACTGCCCTTTTCCTGCCCTCTCTTCCTGACTCCCTTCCAGGGCCCAGCTCCTGTTCCATGGTTTGGTCCAAGAAGCTCTCCCCTGACCTTTCCTGCCCTCCCAGGGGGGCAGGCTCTAGGCTCCAACACTCTCAGTTCTGGCCCATCTCTGACTCTGTGGCATGAGTCTCTTCTCTCCAGCCAAACATATAGTAACTTATACATTATGAGTATAAATTAAAGACACACATTTCCCCTAGTGTTTGGCTCTGTTTCTGGGCTTGTTAATACAGGTATTGTTCTTGCTGGAACAATGGCTTGGGCAGAACAAATGGAAAGTGCGGTGCATGAGGGAGGGAGCACTCTCTTTTATTGGGCACCTGTGCACAGTCACAGCACCATCTGCTTCTACATGTGTGGCCTCATTCAATCTTCACAACAGTTCTGTGGGGTGGGCATTATCATTAGTGATTTATGAAACCTGAAGAAGCTGAGGCCCAGAGATGAGAAAAAAACAGCCCAGGTCATGCAGCCAGTAAAAAAAAGAGAGCCAGAATTGAAAACCAAGCTTTCCTGCCTACCCCTAAGCATCCCCCTCTGCAGAGGTAGTGGTGTCCCTAGGCAAGGCACTGCACTGGAAGGCCTGGTCCTCGTGGCTCCATTTCTGTTACCTTCAGACTGACAGACTCCCCTTGGGGTGAACCAGACCTTTGACTCCCACCTGTTTTACTCCTCAGAGAAGAATAGAAGGTACTGGTGGCATCAGCTTTTGCCCCATGGCACTACCTGCAACCAGGGATCTCTTGCTTGGGCTCAGCTATGGCCCTACCCACACAGCTCAATGCCCAGTTTGGACACATGCCAACTCCACAACGCATACTACCCTTGCACACAAATGTGTGCATGTACATGTAAATGCCTGGGACCAACATTTATGCTTATGGGCTCAGTGTACCATGCAGTTTACAAAGCATTTTCCCATCAACTATCACCCATAATCACAGAGGCTGTCACCTACTGTGTGTCGGGGAGCACTCTGAATGCTTCTTGTCCACTATCAAATGTGATGCTCACAGGAAAAAGGCTGAGTTAATGCTGTTCACATCTTACAGGCAGAAGATATGAGGCCAGAGAGAATCAGGGATGTGTCCCAGAGCACAGGGACCATGTGAGGAAGCTGGGAAAGTTTAACTCCAATTGCCTATTTCCCAATCAAGGGCTCCTTCCACCAGAGCACACTGACTACTGAATCATAATCCATAATTAGAATAGATATATACAATGCTTATATTTGTATATATGCATATGTTCATATAAACACATCTATGTATTTGTGTCAATGTTCCTCACATACCATCTGCGGCTAATAACATGACTCTTTGCCAAAGAAGAACAAATGACTTGCTCATTTGGGCTCCGACAGCTCTTCATGTTTCCTCTCAATGCTGTCATTGTTTCCCTTACTGCACTGGCTGTGTCTTGAGAACAGGACACCCTGGTACCCAGCACATGACCACACACTCAGTATGTTTGAATGCCCTTAGAAGCTGGGTACCAAAGACCCCCACTCAAGCAATGAGAATCCCCAAGGGCAAAAAGAAATGTCTCCCAAATCCCACACCCTCTACTTCTAGACCATACTCTGAGTACCCAGAACCCAGAATCCCTTTCCCTTCTGCCCTGGCATCTGCTTTCCATGACTGTGTGGGCCTATCCAAGAGTCTGTCCACCTGAGAGCAGCCACATTACAGTAATGTTTACCCTTAGGCAAAGGAGTGGCCAAGGGGTCGCTGTTTGTGGATCATGGGAATCAGTGGAAATAGGGTGTGGACAGAACTTGGTCATGTGACTGGGTTATCTATAAACATGTACTCAAGGCACCTATAAGTGCAGGATGGAGGCAGAAATGGGAAGAGAAGGGAGGTCAACTGGGTAGAATGCCTCCATTTGTACTCCCAGGCTCCACAAATGCCAGATGTGGGCAATTTAAATGAATAACTAAGGGGTTTAATAAGCAAGCATCAATGAACACACACACACACACACACACACACACACACACATACACACACGTATCCTTTTCTATTCCCCTGATCCTTGTCATGTCCTTGTTTATAAACTGGGAACATTTAAATTCTATTCTTTCTTGTTCATCGTGATTTCACCATTTGTGGCAGATCTCACAGCTACTCTATCTTCTTTCATCTCTCTCTTTCTCCTGTCTTCTCATCCTCTGCAACCCCACCACCCAGTATGCCTATGCCCTGGCTAACTTCATTCAGTCCCAGGGCATCAACTCCCTGAAGGTGTGGACCAGCCACATGAAGAGGACTATACAAACAGCGGAGGCCCTCGGTGTTCCCTATGAGCAGTGGAAGGCCCTAAATGAAATTGATGCGGTGAGATGGAGGGGGATGGATTTTTTGGTGATTGATGGGACTTGACTCTGGGCTTATCCTCTGGATTGCCTCTGCTTTGGTGCCTATGAAGAACCCAATTAATTCAATAAATATTTCTCAACAACCGGCCATGTACCATATACTGTTCTGTGTTTTGGGGATCCAGTGAAGGCCAGAACAGACATGTTCTCTGTCCTCATGGAGCCCAAAGGCAGGCCATAATTAAGACTGCATCTCCTATGACAAAAGGTTGTAAGAAGGGAAGTATAAGGGAGATGAGGTTGGAAAGGAAGGCAGTTCATGGAGTTTTATAATTCATGTTGAGGTGTTTAGATACTGCCCTAAAAGTGGGAAGCCAATGATGTAGTCTAAGTCAAGGAGAAGTAGCCTGAATGTGTCTCACATTCTTAAAAAGAAAATAATACCATATTATTTCACTCATATGTAGAATGTAATAAAAAAAACAAATGAACAAAGGAAAAAGAAGAGATATACAAAAGACAGACTCTTAAATCTTTTTTTTTTATTATTTATGATAGTCACAGAGAGAGAGAGAGGCAGAGACACAGGCAGAGGGAGAAGCAGGCTCCATGCACCGGAAGCCCGACGTGGGATTCGATCCCGGGTCCCCAGGATCGCGCCCTGGGCCAAAGGCAGGCGCCAAACCGCTGCGCCACCCAGGGATCCCAAGACAGACTCTTAAATAAACAAACTGGTGGTTGCCAGAGGGGAGGTAGGCAGGGGATGAGTGAAATAGACACAGTTTATTAAGAGTACACTTATCTTGATGAGCCCTGAGAAATGTATAGAGTTATTAAATCACTATATCATACACCTGAAACTAATATAGTGCTGTATGTTAACTATACTTGATATAAATAAGTAAATAAAATAATTAATTAATTAATTAATTAATTAATTAATTAATTTAAAAATGGAAGTTCATTCTGGTCATGAATGGAAACTATGTGGGAAGAAGGCCAGGATGAGCATGCAGATCAGTATGGGGACAGCTGCATTAGTCCAGGCAAGAGGTAATGATGGACCAGAGTAGTGGCATTGGAGATGGAATGAAGAAGAAATACCGTCCGACCCTCATGACAGGGCAATCTCACTTCAGAGTCAAGTATTCCCATGTGCTCTTTGCAAAAGCATTTTTTTCCTCCACATTGTCTCACTTGAACTATAGGTATACTGACATCAGGTTGCAGTCCACAGGTTATGATTGTTAGACCTAAAAGTAAAAGCTTTATCACAAGTATAAATAACTTGCATGTAGGTAGGTTAACTTGCTTGCCTGTAGATATACTTCTATAAATACAGAGAAATATATGTATTTCTACATACATACACATGTACTCAGCTATAGATGTACAGAGATACATATATATAGAAAAGGAATATACAGTATTGTTCTACATGTCACATATATTTGCTATAAAATACATTCAAGCAAATATATAAGCCCTTCATCATAAGAGATCATTCACTGCTTGCTTCTGGCCTATATGTGGTATAAGCATTTATTGGATAGCTACTTTGTTTTAGGCTTTGGGATGGTGGAGACAAAGAGATTCTTGTCTTCACTGAATTTTCAGTCAAAACAGAGTAGTTGGGGAATAAAAACAGCAAAATACAAAACAGCATTGTGATATAGGCTCTGGTAGGTTAGACCATGGATGCACAGATATCAGGGCTGGGCATCAAACTCAGCCAGGATCTGCCAGGAGGAAGTGATGCTGAGTTGAGAGTTAATTAACAGTGAGCCAGGTAGAGAGGATCAGGAATGGTATGTCAGGTAGAGAGTAGCATAAACAAAGAAGATAGATTTTGTGTGTGTGTGTGTGTGTGTGTGTGTGTGTGTGTGTGTGTGTGTGTGTAGAACTGCTATGATGGTAGCAGTAAAGACTGGGAAGAAAAAGGAATAGGTTTTCTGAGAAATTTAGCAGATAGGATCACAGAAATTTGTTATAGGGGAAGGGTAAGGAAGAAGCAATAATTTAGAATGATGCCTAAGTTTCTGGTTTATTTTCCATATGTTAATAATAAATTCCACTGATTGCGTCTTGAAAGCCTTGTACATTCTGTACTAGTCTCTTTTACATATATCATCTCTAATATTCAAAGCATTTTTTGTGAGGTAGTTGTAATCCTCCTCATTTTTCAGATGAGAAAAATAAAATTGGAAGAGGTTGGGTAATTTGCCTTAAGTCAGTAAGAAGTCAATGGTCATTTCCACAGGCAACAAGCTTCTAGCATGCCTCAAAATAGAAAATCAATGCCAATCTGGAAGGACCTTGTGTATGCAGTAGAGTGCACTTTCTCCCATGGACAGTATCAGTAGAGAAATTTGACACTGCAGAGCTGATTGTGGGCTATGGCAGGGGTGAACTTCACCCCTAAAGAAAGGTTAATAGATGATTCAAAAGACAATAACTAGAGACTGTTGCTCCCTTACAGAAAAGTCTAATTGGAATCCACACAATCAAAAGGAAACCTTATAAACCCAATATTGCTTCCCACCCCCACCTCATTTCCGGGAATTTTTCAGTGAACTTGGGAAGCTCTTATGTGCTCCTAAGGAGCTCACTCTTGAGCTCTAGATTCCTTCTTTGGGTGAGGAGACTCTATCTCCCCAGGGCCCACTCTGAAACTGTTAGGGATTTATTAACTCTTGTCTTCTGAGATGTCTGTGGATATGTGTTTCTCTATCTGCCAGAGGTCCTGGAGCAGAGGTAGGAACAGAGGGGATGGAAAATGCTATAAAATAGAAGAGCACTGCTATGTATGTGCACACAAGTGTGTGCTTGCATACACAGTCATAGGTATCCATCACAAATATGCCTATATTCACAGACATACACTTCACAGATACCTGCTGCTAGTCTGACATAGGATCCCTCTCAGACACATCTACCAATCTAAACCTGTATCATGCATGCACATACATACACCTCACAGAGACACACTTTGAGATATATATATGAACACACTCACCATAGACACACATGCAGTCTTTGTACATACCTACATCACACGGACACAGAGAGGCATACCATGGCATGATAGAAATAGTACCATGAATTTCACATAACCTCAGGCATAGTAGGCACACAAATACTCACACATATACACCAGAGACGTAATCAGAAACATTCACAGAAATGCATGCCGCAGACACACTGAAAGACTACAGAAACATTCATGTGGGCATATCCCTGATGCTCAGACACCCCGTACGCACACACTCAAATAAACACACTACAAATACTGAGACAAATACATAAATATATGGCATATGTCCTTAAATGTACCAGCGTGCTACACATACACACACAGTCTCAAATCCTTAAGCCCATATATTTATAAAATACATACTTAAATGTACAACGTATATCTACAAATCATAGGGACAATCATAGAGAAACACCACACACAGGTACCCACCATATACTATATACTCAAACTGAACACATTCACACATCCACACATCTCATGCACATGCATGCACGCGTGCACACACACACACATATACTAAGACAACAGGCACAAACATAGAGCTTTGTTCACAGAAAATCAGGTGCTGTGTTCTGCTTTTCCACAATCATTGGCCTCAGAACTATGGTAAAGGCTGTGTGGATTTCACTTTGGCAATACTTTTGTCCCCAAATGATTTTTCTCAGGGTGTCTGTGAGGAGATGACCTATGAAGAAATCCAGGAACACTATCCTGAAGAATTTGCACTACGGGACCAAGATAAATATCGGTACCGCTATCCCAAGGGAGAGGTAAGGTTTGGAGGGGTTGCCTGATACCTAGAACTTCTCCCAGTATCTTCATTCCAATACCCAGAATTCCATAGTTCCCTGGACAGCTTTAGAAAAGGACTAAAGTGTATTTTGTTGCCGTCCCATAAGGTACATTATAACCTGGCTCTCGGCTGTCTCTGTTTCATGGCAATAGGCAACAGATTCCTCTTTTATTAAAGCTAAATAATTGCTGCTTATTTCCCATCTGCTTTCAGGAGGGCTTTATCCTAGATTTTATCTCTGGTATCCTTTCACTCAACATACTCCTGTAATTTTATTGACAAGTTGCCTAAAGATCCAGTCTCTCTGGACAGTAGGTTGGACTCCCAAGGGACAATGGCTAATATTCTAACCAAATTATTTGCCACCACATGAAGAGACTGTCAATTTCCTATTCCCATATCAGGTGGATCCTCATTGTTTTAATCCAGCCTCCATTTAGCCAGCTCCACATCTTAAAGCATTTATTAGTCATACTCCATTTCCTTTTTTTTATAAATTTATTTTTTATTGGTGTTCAATTTGCCAACATATAGAATAACACCCAGTGCGCATCCCATTCATACTCCATTTCCAATATAAATTCCTGGGTATAATTATCAGAAAAGAAGGACACGAGGGAAGGCAAAACAATAGATATCCTGTATTACAAAGCAATTTCACATTTTTATCCTCATTCTCAGAAATGACATTATAAAGTCAGAGTTTGACTTTATTTTCCCTTATATATTTTGAGGCACACAAGTTTGAAGAAGTTACATCTTATTAGGGAATTGCATATTTTATTATGAATAATAATATTTCCCCTAATAATATTTTTGCCTGAAAATGTATTTTACCTAATATTAATATAGCTATATATTTTTTCTAGTATTTCCCTAGTTCATTTTTTTAAGATTTATTTATTTATTTATGATAGACAGAGAGAGAGGCAGAGACACAGGCAGAGGGAGAAGCAGGCTCCCTGCCGGGAGCCTGATGCAGGACTTGATCCCGGGACTCCAGGATTGCGCCCTGGGCCAAAGGCAGGGGCCAAACCACTGAGCTACCCAGGGATCCCCCAACCTAGTTCATTTTTATTTATTCATTTACTTTCAACTTCCTTGTGTATTTTTGCTTTATATCCCATGTAAACAGCATGTAGTCCCTTTTTAAAAAGCTTTATTTCCTTTATTTTAGAGGTATAGAGAGCATGATCAGGGGGAGGGGCAGAAAGAGAGGGAAAGAGATAGGGAGAGAAGACTCCTCACTGAGCACGGAGACCAACATGGGGCTCTATCCCATGAACCAGAGACCATGACCTGAGCCAAAACCAAGAGTCATAAGCCAAACCGAATGAACCACCCAGGCACCTCAGCTGTTGTTGTTGTTGTAGTTCATGTTGTTGCTTGTGTTATTTTTAATACAACCTGAAAATACATGTCTTTTGAATGGTAATTCTGATACATTTACTTTTATTGATTGAATTGAGCTTATATCTTTTATTTTGAGATCTTTATGCTTAGTTTTTACTTCTATTTTTCTCCCTTCTTTATAATTCAGGTCCTGATATCTTACATATATATATATATATATATATATATATATATATATATATATATATATATATATCCAGTGCTCATCTCGTCGAATGCCCTCCTCAGTGCCTGCCACCCAGTCACCCCATCCCCCCGCCCACCTCCTTCCCAATTCCCCTTGTTCATTTCCCATAGTTAGAAGTCTGTCATGTTTTCTTACTTTCTCTAATTTTTCCCAATCACTTTGCCCCCCTTCCCCTATAATCTCTGTCACTAATTCTTATACTCACCTTATGAGTGAAACTATATAATGATGGTCCTCCTCTGAATGACTTACATCTCTCAGCATAATACCCCCCAGTTCTATCCACATCTCACAAAATGGTGGGTATTCGCCCTTTCTAATGGCTGATATATATAATATCACATCTTCTTTATCGATTCATCTGCCAGAGGACATCTTGGCTCCTTCCAAGTTTGGCTATTCTTGACATTGCTGCTATAAATATTGGGGCGCAGTTGTCCCGGGATTTCACTGCATCTGCATCTTTGGGGTAAATCCCCAGCACTGCAATTGCAGGGTGGTAGGGTAGCTCTGTTTTTAACTCTTTGAGGAACCTCCGCACAGTTGTCCAGAGTGGCTGTATCACTTCACATTCCCACCAAGAGTGCAAGAGAGTTCCCCTTTCTCCACATCCTCTCCAACACTTGTTTCCTGTCTCGTTAGTTTTCACCATTCTCACTGGTGTGAGGTAGTATCTCATTGTGGTTTTGATTTGTATTTCCCTGATGGCAAGTGATACGAAGCATTTTCTCATGTGCTTGCTGCCCATATCTATGTCTTCTCTGTAATAGTGACTCTGGGAATCTGGAGGCTTCACTGCCCCTCCTGAGATTCGGCCTGATTTCCCTGCTAAGCACTTTTCTGTCCGGGAAAAATATGGCACGGATTTTTAAAGTTCCCGCTTCTCCAGGGCTGGGCTTTCCTGTCCCGGAGGCTTTTGCTACTCCACTTTAGCCTGACTCCTTGCAATCCCCCCCCCCAACTTTATTCTTTTATTTATTTATTTATTTCCACCTTCCTACCTTGCTAAAAGCGAAAACTTTTCTCTCTGTAGCATTCCAGATGTTCTCCCTTTAAATCTGAGGTCGAATTTGTAGGTGTTCAGGATGTTTTGAAAGTTATCTAGGTAAGTTGGTGGGACCAGGTGAGTTGAGAACTCCTACTCTTCCACCATCTTGCTCCCTGATCCTGATATTTTACTTGTTTAAGTTATATAATCTGTTTCATTCTTTTAAAAAAATTATTTAAATACATTTTAATTAATATATACTGCATTATTATTTTGAGAGGTAGAATTCAGGGATTCATGAGTTGCATATAGCACCTGGTGCTCATTATTGCCAGTGCCCTCTTAATGCTTATCACCCAGTTACTCCATCCCCCACCCACCTCCCCTCCAGCAACCCTGTTTATTCCCTATAGTAAAAAGTTTCTTATGGTTTGCCTCCATCTCAGTTTCCTGGTATTTTATTTTTCCTTCCCTTTCCTATATTCATCTGTTTTGTTTCTTAAATTTCACATATGAATGAAATCATATGGTATTGGTCTTTTTTGACTGACTTATTTCACTCAGCTACCCTCTAGTTCCATTAATGTCATTGTAAATGGCAAGATTTTCATTTCATTTGCTGAAATACATATATATATATATATATATATATATATATATATATATATATATATATATATCTTCTTCATCCATTCACCTGTCAATGGATGTCTGAACTCTTTCCATAGGCTGGCAATTGTGGACATTGCTGCTATAAACATTGGTGCATGAGCCCCTTCAAATCACTATCTTTGTATCCTTTGGATAAAATACCTAGGAGTGCAATTTCTGGGTCATAGGATGACTCTTTTTTTTTTTAACATTTTGAGGAAACTCTGTATTATTTTCCAGAATGGCTACATCAGTTTGCATTCCCACCAGAAGCCTAAGAGGGTTCCTCTTTCTCCACATCCTCACCAACATCTATTGTTTCCTTAGTTGTTAATTTCAGCTATTCTGACAGGTGTGAGGTGGTATCTCACTGTGATTTTGATTTGTATCTCCCAGATGCCAAGAGACATTGAACATTTGTTCATGTGTGTGTGTTAGTCATTTGTATGTCATCTTTGGAGAAATTACTGTTCATGTTTTCTGCCTATTTCCTGACTGGATTTTTTTGTTTGTATGTTTTTTGAGGGTTGAATTTGATAAGTTCTTTGTAGATTTTGGATACTAACCCTTTATCTGATAAAATATTTGTGACTATCCTCTCCCATTCCATAGATTTCCTTTAGTTTTGTTGACTGTTTCTTTTACTGTACTAAAGAATTTTATCCTGATGAAGTCCCGATAGTTCCCTTTTGCTTTTTTCCCCCTTGCCTTTAGAGACATATCTAGCAAGAAATTGCTACAGCCAAGATAAAAGAGCATGCTGTCTGTGTTCTCCTCTAGGATTTTGATGGATTCCTGTCTCACATATAGATCTTTCATCCATTTTGAGTTTATCTTTGTGTATGGTGTAAGAAAGTGATCCAGTTTCATTCCTCTGCATGTTGCTGTCCAGTTTTCCCAACACCATTTGTTGAAGAGACCATCTTTTTTCCATTGGATATTCTTTCCTGCTTTGTCAAAGATTAGTTTGGGTGACCAATTCTGGGTTCTATATTCTGTTCCATTGATCTATGTGTCTGTTTTTGTACCAGTACCATACTGTCCTGATGATTACAGCTTTGTAATACAGCTTGAAGTCCAGATTGTGATACCACCAGCTTTGGTTTTCTTTTTCAACATTTCTCTGGTTATTTGGGATCTTTTATGATTACATAAAAATTTCAGGTTTGTTCCAGTTCTGTAAAAAATGCTGATGGTATCCTGATAGAGATTGCATTGAACATGTAGATGACTTTGCATAGCATAGTCATTTTAACAGTATTTGTTCTTCCAATCAATGAGTATGGAGTTTTTCCATTTCTTTGTCTTACTCAATTTCTTTCATAAATGTTCTATTGTTTTCAGAGTACAGATCTTTTACCTCTTTGGTTAGGTTTATAGGTGTCTTATATTTTTGCTGTGATTATAATTGAGATTGATTCCTTTGATTCCCTTTTCTATAAATTCATTGTTAGTGTAAAGAAATGCAACTGACTTCTGTGCTTTGATTTTATATCCTGTCACTTTACTGAAATCCTGTATCAGTTCTAGCAATTTGGGGGGAGGGGAGTATTTTGGGTTATCTAGATAGAGTATCATGTCATCTGCGAAGAGTGTATATTTGGTTTCTTCTTTGCCAATTTGGATGCCTTTTCTTTCTTTTTGGGTGCCTTTTATTTCTTTTGGAAGGCTAGGACTTCCAGTATTATGTTGAACAACACTGGTGGGAGTGGACATCCCTGTCAGTTTCCTGAGCTTA